TCTTTCAAATGCGTTTAAAGTTTTTTTCCCCAAAAAACTTTGTCTTCAAAATAAGGGTGCGTCTTATATTCCGAAAAATACGGTATATATTCCCACCGCATCGTTCTAGAAATTGAAAAGCAAGACTACGTGTTAAAAGCTTTGACAGAACAAATGTATTAATCTTCCACTTTACATAGACAAGCGTGTCGTGCTTTGTTCTGTTAAAACGAATTTCACTTATTTTCCTTTACCGGTATAGTTAATTCGATTTAGTTTTAACGAAAAACAAAACACATTCTTCTTCTTTATAGAAGAAATTTGGAGAATTTCCACTAACGCCTCTCTTCTTATATACGTTTCAATACTCTTGGTTTATTTTTTAATTCTTAACAGGTTTTTAAATTGTCCGGTAATTCAATACTTAGCTTATTTCAGTAGCAATGACTTTCTGCTCTCATTTTGTTCCCCGAGTGGCACAGCGACATGTCTGCGAACTTATAACACTAGAAACCGGGTTTCGATACCCGTGGTGGGCAGAGCACGGATAGCCCAGTGTGTAGTTTTGTGCTTAATTCCAAACAAACTGTTCTCATGTGATCGGTCGTCCATGAAAACCGAAATGACGGTCTATTTTCATCAAGAAAAACTTTGGGTTAGTATGACAGCATTGTGATCAGTAACTTGAAATCAGGGGCTAACAAGTCGAACGTATCAACTGGACAGGATGTTGTAACACACTACTGCTACAGGATCCTTAATTAAAACGGGCGTACAGACCATGTAACGTCAGAGTTTATCGAGTACGACCTCAGGTGTTAAACTATATTTATTATAGCACCATCATTACGCTTCCTCTGTTTTACTGTTTCTTCAGAAAACATTAGATATAGCTTCTTCTTATTGCTGGAACAATTTACTTCATCAACTATATATATATATATATATTATCTTAGGACGTGAAAGATGGCTTCCCGTGTATGTAATTGTAAAAAACGCCCATAAAAACTGCAAAACACAAAATGTGAAACTGCAACTCTGCATGTTATCTCCTTATGGACTCAGTAAACCTTCATGCCAAATTTGGTGAAGATCCATCAACAGGGGGAGAAGTAGTGGTAAAAAACGCAAAATCGGCCATAAAACCATCAAAATTGAAAATTTGTTTGTATCTCCCCATGAACTTCTGTACCAAATTTGGTGAAGATCCATCCATAGGGGGGAGAAGTAGTGGTAAAAAACGCAAAATCGGCCATAAAACCCTCAAAATTGAAAATTTGTTTGTATCTCCCCATGAACTTCTGTACCAAATTTGGTGAAGATCTATCCAGAGGAGGTGAGGTAGTGGTAAAAAAAAAAACGCTCATAAAAACCACAAAATGCAAAAATGAAAATTTGTATCTTCCCCCTCATGAACTTAATGAACCTCCATACCAATTCTGATGAAGATCTATCGACACCCTGCGAAGTAGTTACATGGACAGACAACAGCCAGTACAATTTTTTTATATATGGGTTCCTTCTTGTTGTTACTTTCAGTAATACGAAAGTGATGCCTTTGAAAAACATATTAACCATGTTGTGTTTCGTATTTGTCCTAAAATATCAACGATAAGTCGACATTAGTGCACAAATATTGTCGGTTTCCTTGGCAACATAAGTACGTGTAGAAACATAGGGTTTAAAGAACAGAGAATTATGACCCCAGATTATAAAGAATAGATAATATGTAATTCATCATTTATGTGTGTGTGCGCGCGCACATATACATACTGTACAAAGTAAATTAGGAACCAGTACATTACTGGTGTATATTTGGTAGGTAGCTGAATTATAACTTGCAAACCATTAATTAAATTGAAAAGTTATACTCTTCCCAAGATCATAGTCTACGAAACTGTGAACGTGAATCCGCTTAGCAACGAACCACCAGATTTCACGATTCTTAACTCAAACATTAGAATTCACAGAATCGTTATTTTAACCGTAAGAGCAAATATATACTCTCACTATAAATGGTCAACGCAGCTCGCCACGCCACTCTGGATGGTGTTTTGGAGAAAGTTTTCTCATCCACTAGCCTGTTATCTAGCCAACGCAGTGTGTCTCGTGGGTGTGGTAGACGTGAAATCTGACCATGAGATGGGTTATATGGGGTTTAAGTGCGCAGAAAATGCTCACCAGTTTATTTTTCCAGTAATTTCCTGTTCAATGTAGACATTGGCGATAAGTGCACGGTGGGGATGGGCCATAATCACCCTTCAAAATAAGATCAGGTTTAATAACACTAATGTATGGCTTGTAAAAGGTTGTTAGAATGTCCTTCGTTAGATTTCCATCTGGTGGAATTCTTCTAACTACAAGATTGTCTGGAATTTCCATCAAGATAAATATCTTGGACAACATCATACACAGACGAGGAAGAAGAACCCAGAACAAGTCTTGTTTATAACAAAGTTGTAACTTTGGGAGAATATGGTATGCATCGTATTACAGTGATTTGTACCGTTTTACACATAAAATAAAAGACAGTGTAGCGAGGGAAAGACACCATCGAGTTTCATAAGTCTATCTATGTATCTATCTGAGAAGAAGGTAAGCAATAAAAACCTCTACCGATCCATTCATCCATCTTTCTTGACTTATTTTAATAAACTGACACAGCTTCCAGTAACATCCTGGTATCTTGCTCTGTGCAAAGTTGAAGAATCAATAGAGGAATGAATCGGCTCTATTCCATCAGATAACCTTATACTTTTGGGAAAACACCCATTGCATGCCGATATACCAGCAACAAATCAATTATCCTATCCTTGAGTCACCACGCATCATATTGTGTAATCATATATACGTGATTCATCGATCAAACATACACACTCACACATAAAACAACAAATCCCAGTTGTAACTTTATTTTCTGCTGTTATTATCATAGATGTTCTAATGTTACTAAGTTGTATGGACACTGATCGTATAAAGACGGACAAAAGATAATATAGTTTTTATGCCATGTTTTTATCGGTTTTATCAGAGCAGTAGATATTACACTAAGCGACGCAGAAGTTTCCCACTGCCATTTTTTTTTATCTTGTTCTTACAGCTGGTCGAAATATGCGCCATAACACAACAAAATATCTTGCAAGGTTAATGACATTTCAACCAGTTATTGTCACAAAAGGCGAAAAGACAACGAAACGCACACACATTACTAAAACAATCATAGTCAGGGCGGGACTTGGAAATATAATGGTGGTGAGCGACTTTTTCATCTTCATTTATGTTCAGTCTTT